CCCCCAGGCCAAGGGGCCCGTGGATAGCGCAGCGGCCGGTCCTCCCGGGGTCGGGGGGCGGGCGCTGTGAGGGGGTCCGCGCGCTCCCCTCCTCCGGGGCTGCGGGAACCTGGGCTGGCTCGAGGGGGCACGCTTCAGTGTGAGCCTCCGTGTACGCGCCTGTGTCCCCCGTCAGACAGGGAGCTTGGGCGGCAGGACCCGAGGGCGGGCCTGGGGACGCGCTCACCGTCCTCCAGCCCCAGTTCCCCTCCACCCGCCAGGGGGCTCCTCCCTGATGGGGACCCTCTTGGGGAGGTGACTGCAGTCAGAGTCCCTTGGGAGGCAGGGGAGCCCTGGGACAGCGGTCATTTTCAAGCTCTTCGTAGTCCAACTCGGAAGCCGCGCGCGCGCACATTCACAGAGGTCATTTCTAGCCAGCATCCCATGCGACTGGCTCTACTGTGTTATCCCACCGGTGCTCTGGGCCCCATCCTCTCTGCCTCTCAAGGGCTTGCAGCGGGAATATTACCGCCCTCTCCTGCAATGTCAGCTGCTTCTCCACCTGAGCTCCGCCATCAGCCACACACCTCCAGCCTCCATGGCTCTCTCCCAATTTAATCTAGCCCCTCCCGCCACCTCCCCCCAGGGTGCAGGAGTCAAGTGAGTAGTTCAAGTGCAGTCCTTCCTTATTAAAATGTTGATATTGTGTTCATCATGGATTTTTTGCATTGATTTTCAAAAATATTGCATTTAAAATATTATCTGTCTTATGCAAGAGATGAAACTATAAAACTCTTAGAAGAAAACCTAGGGGTAAATCTTCGTGATGTTGGATTTGGCAATGGTTTTTTAGATATGACACCAAAAGGATAAGCAACAAAAGAAGACATAGAAAAATTGTATTTCATCAAAATTAAAAACTTTTCTGCATCAAAGGACACTATTAAGAAAGTGAAAAGACAAACTACAGAATGGGAGAAAATATCTGCAAATATTGGATATTGTATATTGAATAAGGGTCTAGTATCCAGAATACATAAAGAACTCTTACAACTCAACAGCAAAACAACAAACAGCCCAATTTAAAAATGAGTAAAGGGGACCGGCCCCGTGGCTTAGCGGTTAAGTGCGCGCGCTCCGCTACTGGCGGCCTGGGTTTGGATCCCGGGCGCGCACTGACAGACCGCTTCTCCTGCCATGCTGAGGCCGCGTCCCACATACAGCAACTAGAAGGATGTGCAGCTATGACATACAACTATCTACTGGGGCTTTGTGGGGGGGGGAAGGAGGAGGATTGGCAATAGGTGTTAGCTCAGAGCCAGTCTTCCTCAGCAAAAAGAGGAGGATTAGCACGGATGTTAGGTCAGGGCTGATCTTCCTCACAAAATAAATAAATAAATAAATAAATAAATAAATAAATAAATAAATAAAATGAGTAAAGGATGTGATTAGACATTTCTCCAAAGAAGATATACACATGGCCAATAAACACTTGACAAGATGCTCAACGTCATTAGTCATCAAGGAAATGCAAATCAAAACCACAATGAGATGCCACTTCACATGGAGTAGGATGGATGGAATTAAAAAGGAAAATAAGTGTTGACAGGGACATGGAGAAATCGGAACTTCCGTACATTGCTGGTAGAAATGTAAAATGGTGCAGCCGCTATGGACAATAGGTCATTCCTCAAAAAGTTAACATAGAACGACCCTATGTTCCACTCCTAGGTATGTACCCAAAAGATTTGAAAACAAGTATTCAAACAAAACCTTGTACACAAATGTTCACAGTAACACTATTCACAATTCCCAAAAGGTGGAAACAACCCAAACGTCCATCAACAGATGAATGGATAAACAAAATGTGTTATATATATGCATATAATAGAACATTACTCAACTCTAAACAGAGTGAAGAACTGATACATTCTACAATGTGGATGAACCTCCAAACCACGCTAAATGAAAGAAGCCAGACACAAAGGGTCACATATGGCAGGATTCCATTTACATGAACTATCCAAGATTGGCAAATCCACAGAGACAGAAAGTAGATTAGTGGTTGCCAGGGGCCACGGGGAGGTAGGAATGGGGAGTGACTGCTTATGGGTATGGGTTACCTTTCAGAGTGATGAAAATGTTTTGGCCTTTAGATAGAGGTGATGGTTGTACAACATTGTGAATGTACTTAATACCACTGAATTGTACACTTTAAAATGATTAATTTTATGTGAACTTTACCTCAATATAAAAATATTATTTGTCTTGATTACTCAGGTTTTTGGCACTCCCACCCTTAAATTTTGTGCCTGAGGTGAGTGCCTCGCTGCTTCCTCCCCCCCATGTCCCCTCTCCCTGAGTCCAGTGTAAACTGGTGCCACCACTTCCAGAAGAATCTGGCAGTATCTGGCTGGTATAAGTGAAGATAACAAGACTCCGAGGCTCCAACTTTGCACCCCTGCATGACCAGGAGGCCCCAGAAGGCCAAGAAAAACACTGAGGGTGGCAAGGAAGCCTCCTAATATGCCTGGTAGGGCATGGTAGGAGGTGCCAGGTCCCCTTGAAGGGCCTGTGGGTGACCTTGCCCTGCACTCTCTCCAGGGTGGAGGTTGAAGAGGCGGGTAGAAGAGTGTCTTTGGAGACCAAAACATGTGATGTGGCATTTCGCCTCTCCTATCCCTCACCCATGCAAGTGGCAGGGCCTTCCTGGAGACTCCTTAACCTCTGCCCCTGGAGGGCCTGGTGGCTGGTGGCAGCATCTCTGAGCAATGAGTGGGAGCGGGGACTGCAGTGGGGAAGGCCACACTCCTGGCTGGTCAGAGCAAAGGGTGCCTGCGTTTCCTCTGGCCTGGGTGTGCCCTTGTTGGGGGGAAAGAGGGGCCAGGAGGCCTTTACCCAAGAGGCTCGCCGGAAGAGTGAAGGGCTTCTATGGGGTGGGTCAGAAATCCACAAACCCGGGGCTGAAGGATGTTGGAGGGACCCTGCCTAAGTGAGGGACCAGGCGAGAGGCCTGCAGTGAGGGAAGGCCCTCTGAGGAGGCCATGCCCTCCAAGGAAGAGTCAGTGTGCACACGCCTGCCGCCGGGCGACACCCATGACACAGGTGCCGGCCCCTTACTCTCTGCCCCTTCAGGTCCCCCTGGGGGGTCAGGGGTTGTCCAGGGAGAGAGGCAAAGGCCAGATTTGGGGAGGGGAGACGTTTAATATACAATAAAATTAGAGCTTTGACCCTTACATGGACCCAGACATTTCAATTTCTGAAAAAAATAATTTTTTTAAAACTAAAAGTGAATGGATAACTTTATCCAAGGGGATAGGAAAGAATTAGCCTCACACAGTGAGTCTGAAGGAGCAGGGGGCAGGGGAGAGGAGACATAAATTCGTTTTCTTCAAATTTGAGATCTGCTTACCTAACATACTGGTTACACTCACGAGGGGACAAGCCCGAGGTGCTTAGCAACATTATTTATAATAGAAAAACATAGAAAGCAACTTTGACAGCCATCAGCAGAATAGATAAATTATAGTCTATTCCCTCAACAGACTACTATGCAGTATGAAAGGAAATGAACTAAGGCTACGTGAATAGAACCAAATGATGCTCACAGTCCTTAGAAGAATATCTGCAATATAATCGCATTATGTAAAGTTTAGTAACATACAAAACAATGTATTCCTAAGGTGTTGGTTCCGATGTAAACAGTAAAGAAACATGTGAGAATAATAAGAACTAAACCTAGGTTCATGGATGCCTTGGGAGGGTGCTGGAGATTCTCTCTTGGAAGGTACACTGAGGCCTTCAACTGTATTGGTTTTGTTTTGTTTATTTTTCTTTATTTTTGTTTTATTCTATTTTTTTATTATTATTATCTCAACTGTATTGGGATTGTTTTATTTCTTTAGCTGGGATGTGGGCACAGGGTGTTCTTTAGTATTTTTTATAGATTTTGTACATCTTAGATATTTTATAATCACCCCCTCCAACTCCCCTCTGCCGACTGGCCCACTTTTCTGATCTACCACGTCAGCAAAACTTGCCCAGAGAGTTGTATGTGGTTGTCCCCACTATGCCGCTGACACAGCTCTTGTCCAGGATGACCTCCTGTTCCCAAACACAGTGGCCACCTCTCCCACCTCTTCTTCCTCATCCTCAGCTGCACCTGGCACAGCTGGCCACGCCCTTTCTTGAACTCCCTCTTCCTGTGGCTCACAGGACGCCACAGCCTCCTGGCTCTCCTCCTGCCCCACTGCAGCTCCTTCTCCAGCTCCTCCTTGGCCTGATCTTGAAATACTGGAGGACTCTAGGGTCTGTCCATTTCTCTATCTGTGCCTCCTCCCTACATGACCTCTGAGTCTTCAGCCCTGACCTTTCCCATTGTCTTAATCTGCTCAGGCTGCTATAACAAAATACCATAGGCTGGGCAGCTTAAACAACAGACGTTTATTTTTCACAGTTCTGGAAGCTAGAAGTCTAAGGTCAGGTGCCAGGGTGGTGGATTCTTGGTGAGGGCCCTCTTTCTGGTTGGGGTGGCAGATGGCCACCTTCTCATTATGTCTCATTATGTCCTCACATGGCCTTTCCCTGGTATGTGCACTCTGAGGGAGGGAGGGAGGGAGAGAGGATCTGGCCAGCAGATCTGCTGGCCCAGAGGGCTCCTCCTCAGAGAGGCCTTCCAGTGACTCCCCTATCTCATCCCTAATCCTTATCTCTTAGCCTGCCCTATTTTTCTTCACACCACTTACCACACCTGGAATCACACATGCCTTGGTTATTTTTGATCGTTTCTCATCCCTGTTATAATAGAAGCTCCATGAGAACTGGGACTAGGGCTAACA